CTTTTAACAAAATATTCGGTCCTTATGTAACCCAAGGTTAGTGATTCCAAAGAAGTTCTTCTCTCTTTGATTCTATCCATGTAATTTTGTTTTTGGTTTTTAAGCCTTTTCTGAGCATGGATTCTCTTTCCCTGCAGCGGAGGTTTTCTCCGATACCCAACCTTTGATTCGGTCTGTTCTTGATGGTTATAATGTTTGCATATTTGCGTATGGCCAAACAGGATCAGGGAAAACTTATACCATGGTAAGAAATGCATCTTTTTGTCACAGCAGTGATAATGCTAATAAGAATCTTTTTTTCTTACTATAGCCAGTCAAATACGTTATGCTAATTCATCTCATTTATGAATCCAGACAGGGCCTAAGGAACTCACCGAGGAAGAGTTAGGTGTAAACTACAGGGCATTGAGTGATCTATTTCTCCTCTCAAACCAGAGGAAAGAAACCATTTCCTATGCTATTTCTGTCCAAATGCTTGAAATTTACAATGAACAAGTCAGGGATCTCCTTTCAGCAGACGGTGTAAATAAGAGATATCCTTTATATCAGACTTATATGTGTTTCTCCATAACGTTTTATGTTGTTCATTGGTGCCTCAAACCCTTACGTGTTCTTTAACTCCTACATACATTAGAAATTCGTAACAGCTCTCAAAATGGTATTAATGTACCTGATGCAAGCCTTGTACCTGTATCATCAACATTTGATGTCATAAATTTGATGAACCTTGGGCAAAAGAATCGTGCAGTTAGCGCCACAGCCATGAATGACAGAAGTAGTCGATCTCACAGGTTCAGTCTAATGTTTCTGGTTTTTAATTTCGGAAAGATTGATTTCATTTCTAGTTGTGCTCTAAACCATGCTAAGTTTCTGATTGGTCTTGAAAACCAGCTGCTTGACAGTTCATGTTCAAGGAAAAGACCTCACTTCAGGAAACATTCTTCGTGGTTCTATGCACCTGGTTGATCTGGCAGGAAGTGAAAGGGTAGATAAATCTGAGGTGACTGGGGATAGGTTAAAAGAGGCACAACATATCAACAAATCTCTATCTGCTTTAGGAGATGTGATAGCTTCTCTTGCTTCAAAAAGCTCACACGTTCCCTATAGAAACAGTAAACTTACTCAGTTGCTCCAAGATTCACTTGGTAAGATTATCTGAAACCCCCTCCAACCAAAAAAAGGTGCTGGTACTGTATTCTTCTTTGTGACCATGTTATTGTTCTCATCTGTCAGGAGGACAAGCCAAAACACTCATGTTTGTTCACATTGCTCCAGAGTATGAAGCTCTGGGAGAAACAATTAGTACACTTAAATTTGCAGAAAGGGTTGCCACAGTTGAGCTTGGTGCTGCTAAAGTGAACAAAGATAGTGGAGAAGTGAGAGAGCTTAAAGAACAGGTTTCTCCATGTGCCCTTTCTGCATTTTAACCTAAAAGTGTCTGCCGTCATACCTGTGCTTATATTTTCTCATCTCAATTGCTTTCAGATAGCTAGCCTTAAAGCAGCCTTAGCGAGAAGGAAAGGAGAGCCAGAGCACCTGCAACATACTCAATCCAGTAGCCCAGAAAGTAGACCAAAGCTTGAATCATCAGCTTCTCTTCCTAAATTTCAGAGTTTCAGTGATCTATCTAGCAGCCTTGCAAACACTGAGGTATAATATAACTGCTACGATTGGTAGAACTTTATCTTCAATAATGATTAACATGTTTACAGGATGTAGATTGCAGAGTTAACAATTAAACTTCAGAACTGGTTTATCCATCTTATAGAAGTACTCTAAGAATTATAGTAAATGCTTATCATCTTTGCAGATTGATTTTCTTTCAGAACTAATCATCTACGCATAGAATCATCTTTCAGAGATAGAAAAAATGTCAATTTTCTGTAAATGTTTTCAACCAAGGATAAGGTTTGCCTAACATGGTACACTTTTGCCTGCTGTTTCAGAATGACTCTTCATCCACATCTAGGAGAGATAGCTTGGAGATCCAAGAGATGCTAGCGAATCCATCTCTGTGGCCACCTCTTGGTAGTCCTGCCGTAAGTGTAAAGGATGACGACAGAGATTCAGTTCCTGGTGACTGGGTTGATAAAGTCATGGTGAAGAAGCACAACAACATGAGCAAGGATCGAAATCCATCAGCAAGTAGGGAAGCAGGCAACAGACAACTGCCTGACAAGTTCAATCAGAGCTACCTTCGTGGTCCAACAAAGATATACCCGGAACAAAACTTGAATAAGTTCACTACAAACAGAAAGGGCAACCGAGACTATGATCTGCAACGAACTCGTTCCGAAGTTGGCTCCACGGATGATTCTGACCTTGAAGCTGCAACTAGTGATTGTTCGGAGAATGACTCAGTTTGGCAATCCAACGTTCCTAAGATTACCAATGGTCCGAATGGTTTGGCATCTAAACCAAAGAAACAGCAACTTAGGACAGTAAAGAGCACAGAATTCAGGTAAGCTGCCTGATCACATCATGCGACACTGTTCTCTTACTGCAAACTTCAGTTTATTTCTACTAGCTTAGAACCCTGATTTTCTTGTTGTTCTGTTTTCTCGGTTTGCAACCAGGAGTTCAATTCCATCACTAATTCCTTCACCATCAATGAGGAAGTCTTCAAATGGAGTTAATCCGAATTTGCACCAGGGAAAGAGGAAAGCTGGGTCTACAAAGTGATTAAACTTAAGTGTTAAGGAAACTGGCTTCATCATTTTTTTTTTCCTTTTTCTTTTTTCACTTTCTGTCCCATTTTCTTGCCCTTTTCTTGTGTATCTATCATTTGAGAGAGGGAGAGGTTCACATATACAAAGTGGCAACAATTTTCTCAGTTGCTTGGGCCTAGTGGTGGTAAATCATAACACCCCCCCAGCCCCCCTTCATGGTGATCCACCTCCTTGATTTCATTTGCTCACACTGGTGTGGATTTTGGGAATTTCTTGCTTTTTTCCTTCCCCTTCCCCCATCAATTGTTCTTTCTTGAAGAATTAAGATTGGAAAGGAAAAAGAAGGTTGCTAAATGAGGGCAGAAGGAAGGAATTGTATTATATGGAGTACATCAATGAATCATGATATTATTTGAGTATTATCAAAACAGCATAGCATGAGAACATTTGATCAATGATTAGTATATCAAATCTCGAGTTAAGTTCGAATCTTTCTTTTCGAATTTAACATTGAACTCGGAAATAAAATGCTTATGTATTGAACTGATATTATTTATAACTACAGATTTATGATCTACAATTATAAGAATGGCATAGACCCAAACTCAAAATCATTTCATAAAACTCAAGCATTAGACTCAATGAGTACACAGTTTGAATCCCTCTTTATATTGAAGATTGAACCCCGGAACAACATGCTGATGAGCTGAAGTGATGCTTATCTAATGTGACTAGGAATTATGACCCACAGCTACAGGAGTTGCATACAACCCAGAACCAGGACCAGGAGTGATTTTAGCCACAACTGAAGCACAACAAAACATCCACTTGCGTGTTCATTACATGTTCTCCCTTTCCTTTCCAATGAATGTCTAACTCTATGTAGGTCCCACGAACACATGGCCACCTCAGCAAGTACCTTGATGGTTTTTTTCTTAGAATGTGAGATATAGATATATGTCCACTAAATTCCATTAAAGAGACAACCACCCCCCCACAAAAAAAGTTGAGTTGCCCTCGACTAAGAATTAAAGCATTGTGCTTGTGCCTTTTTGCCACATTTCAAAATCAAAATGCCCTTAACCCTCTTGTTCTTGCAAAACCAATATTGCCATTATCTTTTTTATTGATTTGACACATATATATTCACTTAACATAGTATCCCAACAAACACTGTTTCTATTCACTGTCGCTGCCTTCATACATTGACCTTTTTCCCAGCCAGTGTTGCTTTCATGCATTGATATTATCTCCTTACATTGACTTTTACCAATTATTTTGTAAAAAAGTTTTTAAATAATTTATGTCACGTAATAAATTTATTATTTTATAAATAAAAATATTAAAATGATGATAAAAACATTTACCCAAAAATAAAATTCACTTTCAAAAATTAATAAACATCTTTTTGTTTTCCTTGTTAAATTGTCATCCCAACTTTCATATTTGGAAAGGTAATAAAAAAAATATCTAGCAATCAGTGAGAGGCAGCTTGCAAATTTCCCACCTGTGGAACCATGATTGCCAACACATAATGGGATACAAATAACCCAAACAGATATGAGAAACTTGCAAACCCAAATCCCAATTTGTAATCCCAAGCTTCTGACTTTGAATAATTCTTCCCTTTATTTCATATTTTAGGTCCCCCATTAACAAAATAAAAATGTTGGGTTTGGAACAGATTATGTCTTGTTTGGCCTGGTTACATGTTTCATTCCTTTCATCTGGCATCCTCTGCCCAATCCAATATCTCCTAAACAAACAAAGCCTTAACCTTTGTGTTTTGCTTAATCCTCCCACCTAAACAAATCAGTAGTAGCTATCTCCCAACCCCACCATTTTTCTTCTGCCAGGCAAAACACAGCAAATTTCCACCATTGTTATTATAAAGAAAACAAAGTCTTAGGGGATGAATGAGCAGAGAAGTCAAATCCAGTTTCCTTTTAGACCAAGAAAAATTTGACAGATAGATTTCTTTCATGATATAAGCCAGGTAGATTATTCATTGTAGGATGGAACAAAATGAAATACAAATCAAAAGTCAAAACCCACTTTCTTCTTTTTAATACCTACTTTATCTTACCCTTTTCTTTATAATATTTTTATTTATAAAATTAAATATTTACCTTTATTGAAAATAAAAGTTGTTAGTTATAAAAAATGAAATGAATGAAAGACAATGTAAAATTAAAATTTAAATAGAACAAAAATTAAAAAATCAATTACAAAGGGCCGTTTTGTAATTTAACAAGGTATTTTTGTTTCCTATTATTACAAAAGATTAAGATTTAGGACATAAATGTCATTATCAAAGGTTTTTGTCCGGAAATGAGCACCTGAAACTCGCGTTTCTCTCTCTCTCTAGATTTCTCTTCCAATCAAATCACTGTGAGCTCTCTCTCTCTCTCTCTCTGTGTACTCTCTTTTAGGGTTTTTCGGCTTTGATTTTTGTAACCCAGAGAAGCACAAAAAGGAATGCTTTTTATACATGCAGAGAAATGAAGAAACAACCAATGTACGGCCATATCTGCGCGATCTGAGGTTTCTATTTCTTCATGTTTCAGCTGTGAGTTTTCTTTTTGGGTTGCTCAAAGTCCACTTTTTTTCTTTTGGGTGGGGGTGGGTTGGGGGGAGTGGAGTTGGCTGTTCATTTTTTTCAGCTTAAATATGTTCAGTTTTGGATCTTGAGCTGAATTTTGAGTTTGTAAGCTAACAATTGAAAATGGGTTGGTTTAGATTTATCTGAATTTTGTTTGTAGATTGATGGGCTGAAAATGACCTTTTTTTGAGGTTAATTTTTTTAATGGATAAAAAATTTAGCTTTGGGTAATAAATTTTGTACATTGTCTTTGATTGATTCGTTTATTTCTTTTTCAGTCTCATTGCTTTTGGGGGGTTGGTGTGAATTTAATAACAGTGAGTTTGTATGTGGAAATTTGCAGATCACTTTCTGGGGATTTTTGTTTTAATGTTGTGAATTGAAGTGGTGAAATGTGTCTGGGAGTTTTTGGTTTATTGGTTGTTGCATGGAAGCTTTAGGAAATGTCAAAGCTTGAGACTATCATGTATGCATCTTTTGGCTGTTTGATCCATTTGGCTTGGTTATCATCTTATATGATGTATCATGATGGAAATAATTTTGGGAATCTTTAGATCAGTTTGATTCATTTTATCTTCTTTTTGCTGATTGAGTGGTAAAAATGTGTTCTAAAGGTTAATGGTGAGGTATGTAGCATGTGAATGCTTTTTTTTTTTCTATTAGTTCTTCTTAAATGCTACTATTTAGCTTGTTGCAAATGGTCTATGTTCTATCAGACTAAACTGATTTTTGAAGCATTGATATGTTTGCCTTGCACATTTTTCTTACCTTTAAATGTGGTGATGCTAAATAGTTTCATTTGGACTGCTAGGGCTTTGGCATTGGAGTTTTGGAAATGTTGAGATCTAAACTAACATGAGCCAGGCTGAAGTATCAAGGATGAAACCACCTCTTGTTCCACTTGCGACATTGATTGGTCGTGAGCTGAGGAATGAGAAAGTTGAGAAGCCTTTTCTGAAGTTTGGACAGGCTGCTTTGGCTAAAAAAGGAGAAGACTACTTTCTGGTTAAACCTGATTGTCAGAGGGTTCCTGGGAATCCAGCGACATCTTTTTCAGTATTTGCGGTACTCTCTTCCTCCTTTTGCCCACCCCTTCCTCTCTCTCTCTCTCTCTCTCTCTCTCAAACATGAAGGATATTGGCTTATCAGCTTCGATAGCACATTATGGATTTCTCCTGTTTGGTTGTGAAGAAATGAGGAAAGCAACTGAGAATTTGAATTTGAATTATAGTATGGGAAAAAGGAGATTCACTTTGTTGAGATTTGGTGAATAATAACTGTGACATTACTTTTGATGCCTGTAGAGATTCCTAATATTGGTTTTATTGGCAGATTTTTGATGGACATAATGGTATATCAGCTGCCATTTTTGCAAAGGAGAATTTATTGAGTAATGTCTTGAGTGCAATTCCGCAAGGCATCAGTAGGGAGGAGTGGCTTCAAGCCCTTCCTCGGGCTCTGGTTGCAGGTTTTGTGAAAACAGACATTGAATTTCAGCAGAGAGGCATGTATTCATGTCTATTTCATCACACTTTTTTTCTCAGTCAAATTCTTCTGCATGCTTATATTTGTAGTCATTTATATTGATGACAGGGGAAACTTCTGGGACAACAGTGACATTTGTTGTAATAGATGGATGGACTGTCACTGTTGCATCTGTTGGTGATTCTCGATGTATATTGGACACCCAAGGCGGTGTAGTTTCTCTCCTGACGGTGGATCACAGGCTAGAAGAGAATGCAGAAGAGAGGGAGCGTGTCACTGCCAGTGGGGGTGAAGTAGGAAGACTTAATGTTTTCGGGGGCAATGAGGTTACAACATGAGAACTTTCTCTCCTTTTTCTTTTTTGGGTTGGGGGAATTGGATGTGGTGGAATGGGTTGTTTGAGAAGGTTATGATTGTTAATCACTCCTTATGGGTTGAATCTGTGTTATGAGAATAGGTTGGTCCCCTCCGTTGCTGGCCTGGTGGATTATGCCTGTCTAGGTCTATTGGGGACACAGATGTTGGAGAGTTTATTGTCCCAATACCGCATGTTAAGCAAGTGAAGGTTATGTCTTCATGTCTTATTGCTGAGCATTTATCAATTAATTTTCTTCTGAGTATCCAAACGTTGAAACTTCTTTTCTGTTTTTGCGTAGTTGTCCAATGCTGGAGGACGACTTATTATTGCTTCAGATGGTATTTGGGATGCTTTGTCTTCAGATATGGCTGCCAAGTCATGTCGGGGTTTACCTGCAGACCTTGCAGCAAAGCTGGTTGTTAAGGTGATTTCCAGACTGGGTTTTCTCCTTATATTGTTATCTACTCAATTTGCCTTAATATTAATTCTTGCTTTTAACACTATTTTTAGGAAGCTTTGAGGTCAAGGGGCCTGAAGGATGATACAACCTGCCTGGTTGTTGATATTATTCCTTGTGACCAACCTGTCCTACCTCCAACACCAAGGAAGAAGCAGAATGTGTTCAGTTCTCTTCTTTTTGGGAAGAGATCTCAAAATTCTACAAATAAGACTACAAATAAACTTTCTGTTGTTGGAGTGGTTGAGGAGCTATTTGAAGAGGGCTCTGCCATGCTTGCTGAAAGGTGTTCATTCATTAGAACTTTCCTTTTTCTTCTAAATTTTTTTTTTATGTTGCCTTTTTGCTTTATAAAATGTATGTGGGGTGGTAAATGTCTGTGGGAAAGAATATGGATGGTTTTAAAATAAACTGGCAGGCCATGCAAAAATTGCCAGAAGTTGCCAATGTTTTTCACAATCCCTTTTACACCTGTGCTGGTCGAATGTTTATAGTAATATAATTCATAAGTAAATTTGATGTTTGACATATTAATCACTTTCAATTAGTTAAGTTTCTCCTACTGTCATGTCAACTTTGCACCTAAATGCCTTGTTTCTGGGCAAAAAAGCACTGATTATTTCAAGAAGATGGCAATTCACTTAAAGTTGTTTAAATTGATATATTGCTGTGGGGACAAGGATTACAGAGGTTTTTAACATATATCAGTCTCTAACCGTATTGTTTTTAATAATAAAAATTGCAGGTTGGGGAAGGATTTTCCCATGAATACAAACTCTGGAATCTTCAAATGTGCAGTCTGTCAAGTTGATCAACCCCAAGCAGAGGGTTTAACTGTGAACTCTGGGCCTTTTTTCTCACCTGCTTCGAAGCCCTGGGAAGGACCCTTTCTCTGCACAAACTGTCGGAAAAAGAAAGATGCCATGGAAGGAAAAAGGCCAAGCAGAACCACAGTGACCACATAACATCTTTTCTGGTAACAAAGTAAATATGATGTATTTTTTTCCTGGCAGTGCGAACATGCTTGGTTTCCCATTACCTGGTGGTGATTGCAATAGATGCGTGTAAGAATCGAGGTAGAGATAGAGTAGGCGTTTTGCCATATTGTTTGTGAGTTTACGTTTGTGCGCTCGGCTGTTTTACTGACCAACTCGGGACAAGGATGCTATCTGATAGATATTTGTGATAGTTTGATTGCTAACCGCTTGAATTTGTAATTAAAACTGAAGATTGCATAGTAATATATTTATTCCCGCTGCCTTTCTCCATTAGCAAGGGCATCTTCACAACTCCATAGCCTGATTATGATTGGATTGATTGAACCAACAATTAAACTTATCCAGGCATGCCTACTGCACTATTTGCTTTTACATACAGATTTCAACAATGCAGTGTTACTAGTGCAGTTATTTATAACCTTATGGAATTGTTGGTGAAATTCGCTGTTGACTTCAGAAAATTCTGACCCACAACTTTAATAGATATACTTGATTGGAGATAGATCAGATCAAGTCCCAAGTAACTGGGAGATGTTGTTGACATGGTTGATCCACTTGAGTAATCCTAGTGTAAAAGCGCAAAGAAAATGGAAAAACCAGCCCAAGGCAGGCATTTCATGCGGTTTCTTTCTGCTGACGGATATGGCAAATTGAAAATCCTATAAAGAAAGTAAAGGAGATTGGGCCATCAAGGGGCATGCCTTAACAGCCTGCTAAAGTGGGTTTCATATTCCTAAAAGAATCCGGTCGGTTTCCACAGTCAGCCTTTGTAAGTCGAAATTCCCAGTTCGAAAGCAAACTTCAGCTTTCCTACCATTGAAAGTTAAAAGTTAAAACTGACCTGCAGTTCATTTATTCACTGATATTACAATGAAACAAAGCAAGAAAAGCAACAGCATAACGATCAGAGTTGAACAGATACATATAACAGAAAGATGAGACACTATTCCAGGGAGCAACATGATTTATAGCTTGTCGAAGAAACTAACTGAAATTTTATCAGAAAGGAGGCAGCCATTGCAGCTCAATGCCATAGTTCCATGAATCAATGGGATCATTAGGCTTTTTACCAACCACAGAAGTATAAGCAGTGCAGCCTCCAAGCCTGACCCTGATCCTATGTGAGGTCATGGATGCATCTTTCAAGAAATGGCAGCAAAGTGTTCCTCTGCAGCCACTTCCCCCTTTCCCTGCATCCTCGAACTGCCTACAGAAGCTGCTTGAAGAGCAATTCAATGGGGACAAAAGAATGCTATCAGAGCAGTTAAACAACATGACAGTGTTACGAGTAGAGATGTTGAAAGGTAAGTTCTCATCGAGCACCAACCCCCCTAAGCCGAGATCGGAAGAGTAACAAGTGTTTTCCTGTATCAAGGGTGGGCTTATAACAAGCTTAGAAGACCAGGGATTAATGCTGAGAATGTTATAGTAAAACCCTTGAGCTGACATGAACTCCAGGACACCATTGTCGCAGTAGATCCTGTACCTAGGATCCCCACAGCTTTCACCAGTGCTAAGTGGATATGGAACTTCCATTTTACCACATTTGGGGCAAAAACGGAAGGCTGACACTTGGGTTACCAAAACAAACAAGAAAACTATCACAGCAGGCACCATGTTTTAGTATAGTTTTTGACACCAGGGGGGGAAATGACACCAAATTCTCTGCAGGGAAAGCCTGAGAACTCGATGCTCCTTTATATACAGAAGCGGAACCTGAAGACAAAACAATGTTACGTGTAGGAGAATCCAAAAGCATGCTAAAAATAATGAAAGTGCATCCTTTTTTACTTGCATTACCAACCAACTGGAGCCCGAAACATGTCCATATCTACCATATTTAGAAGACCAATTATGGAGGGAATTGAATATGTATTTACACAAAAACAAAAAAAGCTATTGTGACCTCCATGAACTTTGAAGCTCATTAGCTCTACATGTTCAAAGTCAACTAACAATGAGATTTTAAACTAGATTTTGATGCTTGCTGTCATGCAACCGCTCAGTGACCATCATCACATAAAGGCAAAGAGTGAGCAAATTTAGAGGGAGAAAGTTCGAGAATTCGGGTCTCTGTTAACTTGTAACTACCAATTAAGCACCATCCAATTAATTGATTGCAGCTGCTCCTGTCTTTGATGTGAATTTTTATTCAAGTTTCTTTTTCTTTCTATGTGTGACATTTAAGTGCACATAATATGCACCAATCATTAAGATTGGACATGCATTGCATTGAACAATTCACCTAAAAATATAATTTAAGATAAAGAATTTTCAACTTAAAATATAACTGAAATTCATTCCTATAATACATGAAAAATATATGATCAATGGGTTTATATTTGATGTCCTATTGTCACATAAAACTTGTATATTATCGGTTAATTATAAAGTGCCGCCTCATATAGATGTAAAGATAAAAATTCAAAATTTTTTGAAAATGACAATATTTGATTTGTTGATAATATACTGTTACGGTATATAAAATATAAATCCCTAATCAAATACTATAAGAATCTCATTGGTACCAGTGGATTCCAAATTTGTGGGTATTAGATAGCCTTAAGCCAACAAGTGTCCGTGGAATTATTACTCTGATCCCACTTTCCTTGTTTAGAATTTTATAGGGGGGGCACTTGCCTTCTCAGGAGTGGGTGTGTGTATTTAAAAATGGAAATCTTAGGTTTGGTCAGGAAGAGATAAGTAATGAAAAGCACAAGAGTTAGGACCAAATCTTATATTATTTAACCTAGGCCATTGGGGTGTTAATGTGTCCATGAATCCTAGGTAGGTACAGTGAATCATAATAGGCTAATAAAATCATCAGATTGTAAGTCTTTGCACCAATTAACCAACCATATTTTCAAAACTCATAACCATATTGGATCATAAGATCTTTGGGTTTCTTTCTTTGGGGAGGGGGTGGTGCCAAGCATTCTTACTTTGTGCTCGAGTGAAAAAAGAATGGGAAGACGTGAAGAAAGAAATAAGCCAAGAGGAGAGGACGGTTTTTAGATTTAAATTAAGCCACTCAAAGAACAGAGTGAGCACTTACAATATGGGAGAGAGAGCCAAATACACAATCCAAAAAGATCAACTCATTTAACTTGCATTGCATCATCACAGGTGTCATTCAACATTATTTCAGCTGAAAAGTTATTTAAAGTAGTACTACTACTACCTTATAATTACAAAACTACTTAATAGAATAAGACTAATACTAACAAAAGTGCAACTCTGCCAACCTAACCACTCAAATTATGAACACACTTTGGATAAAACATTAGACAACAAAAGTGAGATGGGGGATTGACCATCCGCACCACCTTTCCAATAAACTAGCTTCAAATGGGATTAATAATACAACACAGCGTTCATATTGCTTGAGTTTCTCAAGGCAATTAATCAGCATTCGGAACGTGTGGTATTCATAAAGCAATAAACCTCAATAGCTTAAGTCGGTCATTCTGCTAATAATGGACAATATACAGAATGCCAAAGGGTGAAATTGATCAAAGATGCCAAGTAGATCATGACATTGATGCAATGATGTTGCTAAAGTAGATGGTACTGAAATTCAATTGAATATTAACCTCATTAATAATATCATAAATCAATTAACATTCTCGATTCTTCAAGTGCGTACCTTCCCACCTGTCCCATGATGGAAAGAAAGAAGAAGGTGGGGCAGCAAGGACAGGCTAAATGAGGATATTTATCTGACAAACAGAAGTTTTAAACAACAAAGCAGAATAATGACCAAGTGACACATAGAAACTATGACAACTAAGCATTAATTCCATCTTAGGCCCAATTAGCAAAAGGCTAAAACAGTTGACTTTTTCCTCTTCTTTTAATACAAAGAAGCTTCAGTTGCTCCCACGTTCTGTGAAGAAGTTCCCAGAATGTGCCCTTAGACATCAAACTACAGCAATCCCTCTCCTGCCACAAGCAGTCAGGTGCATTGATCAAAAGATTGAAGATAAAGAAGTTGCAAGCTAACTGAGATTGTGAACATTGAAGTCTGTTGGTAGTAGTTCCAAGGACTTATGATCAAAAAGGCCACCTTTAGTGATGATGACGGAGTTACAAGGTTAATGGAATGGATTGGGCTATTCCAGTTGTGCCAAAAATTTTCAATCAAAATTTGCAAGTAAGGCAGTATCACATGGTTGGTATACCATCAGTCACAAATTCTAGAAAGGGAAGATAACTTACGCAGGTCATCAAACGATATATTGCTAACACCTTCACCAGTCTTTATAAGGCGAATTCTTCCTGCAAGAGTACATTACAGGGTAAAAATGTTTCAACATTGACAATACACCATGTACATGTCTATAAAGGTAATAGACTCCTAATGATAAGTAACACAAAACACCATAATCATAATAAAGTTCAGTGCACAATGCTGTGTCTAATTCCTTTAAGAACTTAAATCAGTTTCAGATCAAATTCAAAGAGTACTACTAAGTTAATGTGGTCATGGAAAACAGATGACGAACACATGCCCCTAAAACAATAACATGGATAAAAAGGAGATAAATACGGGCAACAGGAAGCTACATACCATCACGACGGATACATATTTCTGGTATAGATTTAACTTCACCATTTATGCTGTCATTGTAAACTCTAGTTTCAATATCACCCTCAACATAGACTGAGGAGCTGCATAAAAAATCCATTCATCACACATACATATAGAGATTAACATGGTTGGTATTTTCTTAGATTATCTAGTTTAGATTGCATCGAGTATGAAAATATACTTTTTAGTGATTTGTTGAACTGCATAAGCCCCAAGTGTATCATTATGCACAGCAATTCGATGCCATTGGGCAGGTTGTGGTGTGTTTTGGTCCCTTATGATTCTCTGGTCATACATGCCACCTGTCCCAACTGTAAATATAGTCACTGTTCGTCCATTCCTCAATATCTTCTGTATAGGGGCTTGCCCAACTTTTCCACAAATAATTGCCTGTAAAAAAAAATGTAATAATCGGTTTTTATTTCCACTTAAAGGTAAGAGTAGAAAACATAAAAGTAAAATACAATTACTCTAACTAATAGCTTTTAACAGAGCAGAAACCTCAAATAATTTATAAGCACCATGAGCATCACTTAAGCATCGTATACCATCTTTGACGATTAAAGGTAATGATCCTATTTATATTCAAAGATTCGCGGGAACAAATGCTACACATTACACAAAGAGCCCATCAAATTCCCAACAAAAACTCTCACTAATAGAAACAACTATCAATAGGTTATACCCTGTGTACACCACGGTAATTCCAACCACTTCCAGGATTGACACCTTGGAGCATTGGCAAACGCTTGTCAGACTTGTCACCAAGAAAATCATCAATCTCTTCTTCCATTTCATCGCCTTTCCCTTCATCATTTTTGCTACCAACCGAACCAGTTGAACACCACAACTTGGAGGTACGTTGCACACCCGACACTACAAAATTCGTTAAAAAAGTTACCATATGCCAAAATGCCATTCCAATTTTATTAATCCAAATCCTATCATGCAAATCAACTGTTTGTCAAAAATGCTACATGAACCAACAGTGATCAGCATAAGAAACTACACGTAAATTACATTAAAAAATTATCTTTTTATCGTTCTCTTTAGTAATGGAAGCCATAAAAATAAAAACCCATCCAGAAAAAAAATGCAAAAAAAAGAAAGTAACTTACATCAAATAATGTTTAATCCCACAACCCATATATGTGAAAAAAAAAAGGAAAAAAAAAAAGAGCAGAGAGAGAAAGAGAGACCTAGAGAAGAGCTCGGTGCTGTAGGAACAGAGACTCTAAGGAGCTTTGCACATCTGCTGGCGAGTGAACTCATACTTTATTCAGTGAGTTAACTCAAAACCGGTGATTCCTGGGGATGAAGCAGAAGAGTTGAAAGGGGAATGCAGCGAGGAAGGGGAGAAGGAGGGTTTTAGTTGTTTGTGAAATTTGGGCCCCGGCGGCCCGCTTTCATCTACTGTTAGTTGGGCCGGAGGTATGTTGGGCTTGTACCCGAACCCCAAAAGGCTTAATATTTATTTTCGATCCATTCCTTGTTGAGCCGTAAATATTAGTCGAACAAAGAACAAAAAAAAGGAAAGCAAAAGGAAAAAGAAATCTCTAATTATTGAAGATTAAAGAAATAGGATTGCGGGACAAAATATTTGTGTATCCATTTTCTGATGAATCGAGTTTATATTTGATAAAATATAAATATATAAATTATATGAAACAAAAGTTCTCATCTCGTTGATAAATAAATTTAAAAATAAAAAATTTCAAAATTTTACACGTAATTGCTCAAATAGCAAGCACAAATTAATGCAACACATTCATTCTCCTCAACAACTTTGACACTTGCACTCAAAAACTTACCTGAGCAACAGAAACTAACAAGATCCAGAATTATGAGTAAACAGGTCTTACCGTTAAGAAACAAAATTCAACCATAACATGTCGGAGAGGTTCTATATAACTTGAGATTTCCTCAGCCTAGCCATACAAAAAGGAGTAATCGACCAACACAAGGAAAAATAAACATAATGCAACTACCAGGTCTTATAAGTCCTCAAAAACAATACTGTGTACTTCTCGAGTTGACAGCCGTAAATAGTTCGGTACAAAATTTGTATTTCAGCACACCCCTTCAAGATTGGAAGATGGATCAACCACGTTGCGGGTTCCTGGCTCTTGAAGGCCGCCAGGGTTCTGGCCTGCTGCTGCCGCCAGTGCCACCCAGTCGATCAGAATCTTGAGGTGGAGCCCTGCTGCCACTAGTCCAGCGATCAGATAGCGGTTGAGGGGCCCTGCTGCCACCAGTCCAGCGATCAGATTCTGAAGGTGGAGCTGGACCAGAGCTTTCGGTTCTTTCTCGCCGGAACCTAGGTACATATTTCCCGGAAGTTGGAGCAGCAGCAGCTGGAGCAGCAACTCCAGGCTCTGTTGCACGTGACCCAGCAGGAAGCTCAGAAGGCCTAGAGAGCCCATCTGTTGATCTTCCCAAGAGAGCTTCTCGCCTCAGCCTCTCTTTCTCTTCCAATTCTCGTTCTCTTTGCCTCTGCTTTTCAGCAATCTCATCCATTTTTGCTTTGTGTTCAGCTTCTTCCTTCCTTCTTCTCTCAGCCTCTGCAAGATTCAATGTGCCAATAAATAAAATATTCTTGCACACTTACGAATATCCCCCTTAAGAGGAACATTAGAAAAGGAAAGATATCTAAAGAATTTAAATAACAATGATGGAGGCAAAATTAAATAACAATAGAAAAGCATAACAACTGAAATGAGCTTGAACAGACAAAACAATCCCCGAGCTATTGAGAGGTGAGACAGAATTCTATTGATATGAGAAGAGGAAATTTATCAATCATCTACTGTAAGTTTTCTAGAGAAAACGATCTATAAGCTTATCCAAAAATGGGATACAATTTCAAAGTCAAATAATTATGAAAATATAATCAAATGAGTGTAAATAAGTATATACCTTCACGCTTATGAGCTTCCTCCTCTTCATGCAGCTTTCTTATTCTCTCCTCTTCAGACCTCACAAAAAATATTTTCTTTCTCTTTATATCTCTTTCCTGCTTCCGGGCCTGAATGATTTGTTGGATTCTCTCCTCTCTCTCTACTCCCCGTTGGTCAAACTCAGCTTGCCGACGACTCATTACTCTTTCTTGGAATATCATCTGTGGAAAAGCAAAAACCAAATTATGTTAAATGGCACTTAACACCGGAAAAGAAGATTTAGCAAGCTGCAAGAAAATCATCTCTGACATGAGAAACTCTCTCATGAGTACATAGCCACAAATCCAAAAAGGTACTGACCTTATTTTCCAACATGCGTGCCAGCCTATTCTTCTCTCTCAAGTCACCATCATGGTGCTGTCTGCTTAACTCAACTTCCAACTACAATGCAGAAAATGAGAATAACAGATGGCATCAAAAGGTTGACAATTGCAAAAACCAACAAAAAACCTCTCTTTACAATGACAGTGTAACATAAAATAACTACCCATCCTTTTAAGATATAGGTGCAACCATAGAGATGCAAAATGACGGTAGAGCATCAGTTGATTAAAACACATCATAGTGATTGATATGTTTATAGAACATACAACATCAAATGTTCAAGACTTTGAAAGGGAAGTATTGAAAATAAGGGTATCTTTTAATTGCTAAAACAGGTACAATAATAAAACAGGGCATACAAAAACTCACCTGTTGCTCACGTTCATGAAGCACCTTCTCTTCTACCAATCGTCGTTGAAAACCAGCTTCAATTAAGGGTGCCGCTTCCTCTCTCTTTGCCCTTTCCAGGTGGTCCATTGTTTTGGCAACTTTTTGTAGTCTCTTCTCCTGTTCCTGCCTCTCCTTGAGCTGCTCATTCATCGCTCGCTCAAGCAAGGTTTGTTTAGTCAATTTCTCCTGTACACACATGCATAGTCAAAAATGCAACTTCCATATGAATCAGAAACTTAATTAAAACAAATGGCAGCTTACCCCATCTAAAATTGGCTTCTTTTTCCCTCTTTTCAAATGCTTTTCAGTTTCCTGCAGCAGTGCCTGTGCTTCTTCAAGCTCCCGCTCCTCTATTTCCTTACGAATTCTTTCAGCTCGCTGTTGCTCAAACATAGCAGCAAGCCTCTTTTTTTCTGCTTCTTCAGTTTTCTTCTGCAACATCTGCCGCTTTGACTCCTCCTCACGTTCCTAGTGGATGAAAAAACAAAAAGCAGGGGCATAAGTTTATGAAATCATTTCCATTATTATGCTAAATGATGAAACTTAATGCTGTCTACGTGACAAGCCATTTAAATAGGGATACCATTTCCAGTAGTTGGCGTTCTTGCTCTTCCTTTCTTTTCTCAATGATTGATTTCCGAGCAAGAAGCCTTTTGTGTTCCTTATCTACGATCTCCCCTAAACCTGGTAAAACTTCACCCAGCTTTGATGCTCTCTTGGCAGAGGGGTATATCATGGCTCTTGCTTTATTCAAAGATTCAGCGAGAATAGTCAGGTGATCACGAAGCTTGTCAGATTCCAGACCCTGAAAGGGCCAACATAAAATAAATGAATCCACTGCTATGCAGACACCTTTAAGAAATGTGAATGAAGTGCACAAATCCTGGCAATATCCGCAAAGAAACAGCCCAAAATCCTAACTTACCATATTATCAAACAGCACAACACCCTTCATGTGATCAACTTTCATAGCTATGAAATTATGTTTGATGGCATCAACGGAAACCTTTTCCACCATAGAAAAATCAAAAAAGGGGATCATTTGAGACAAACTCTCAATTTTCATTGTCTGGTAAACCTGGGACACCTGGAGAAGCAAGGGAGAAGAACAATGAGAAGAGCAAGCATAAATAACCAGAGGGGTATATAGCATATAAAACAAACAATGAAAAGAAAATTAACACAAGAACACACCTGCTGAAGCAACCTGAGGCTAGCAAGCTTTTCAAGGTCAGGAACATATTGAGAGAGTTTAACTTCTGGTACTGATGAAGCTGAAGCCAGCTTCCCACCAAGTTTTGATATTTTTATCAACAGAGGCTGTATCTTTGACGCAACATCCAGAGGAAGAAATTCATGTTCCAAGATATGGTAAAGATCTTTCACTTCTTGAGTTGCACAGCTAAGTACACCTTTGGAGACCTGATAAAAAGGGGGTATAAGAATAGACAGTTTCATAAGCAATCTAGAGACATCTCAAAAAATTTCTAGTTACATAAATACAGAGCCAATACTCCTTTGCTATTCCATAGGATTTGAGAGAGAGAAAGAGAATCTCAAAAAGGCCTAACTTGCAAAACCGGGAAGACTTATTTCTTGGCATTAAAGAACATAGCAAACAAAGACAAAGCACTTCATTAATAGACTCAAAGATTAAGGACTTCATTGGGATCCAGTTAGAGCACAAACTTTTAAGACTTTATACCTAGAAATTCAGTTAGACCTATATTGCATGCGATTATTTTTCTTTAACCAAGTGGAAGAAATCAGGTCATGTAGCCAAACCCAACTAGTTTGCGATTATGGGCTTAGTTGTATTGAGTTCAGTTATATTAAAAATTTAAACCCAAATCAGATAAACTTAATCCCAGAGAAAAAAGAAGAAACAAACCAAAAGAGGTCATAAACTTTAAACATACCAGTTCTGTAAGAAGTGATGACCTTGAAAGCTGGAAGAAGTGCACAATGTCAGAAAAGGTTACATCAAGAAAAAGGAAATGGAATGCAAATAAAATTTAACACAACATACCACTTCTCTGTTCTCAAGTTTAGGTTCAAGATTAAATCCTATAAGATTTGCCATTCGAAGGTTGCGCTCTTTCTCATTTTCAAGTTCCAGGTGCGATGCAGCACTAGTTTGATTATAAGGGGAGACTGACAGTGCAGCCAAAACAACTGCTGATGCTATCAACTGCAAATCCTTCTGGCTTAAGTTTTTATTAAAGCTTTTTTGAAGTGTAAATAACTTTAACCATGCATAAGCATGATAAAGATGGCTGGCTGAAATCCAAAATATTTCAGTTAACTTGGCGTAATAAACCACCATCAAAGAAGCCTTAGGAGTTTTCTTGACAATGGACATCAATCCATGAATATCTTCAACAGAACGAAAAGCTTCCTGCAAGGACCAAACATGACAAGCATTGATCAGAAGCATGTAAAATCCATCCATTACAAGATAGCAAACTCATCCATTAAGCACATAGAAGGTAGAGAAAAGAAGAGACCTGCCAGAGCCCAAGTTCAGTCGCAATCTTCAGCTGCTCAAATCTTGTATCAAGATACAGTTGCAAGCTCTCTGGGGCTGACAGGTCAGGTCTGTCCCTTTGGTCTTTATATTTATTTAGATTTGCTAAATGATTCCTTATAATCTCACACAACCTTCTGAATTCTGTTGACCGTTTATACTGCTTGCAAAACTGGAATGCCCGATGCGCTGTCATCTACAGAATATTTAAAAATAGAACAAAACAAGTTACTGTTAATGTGCAACTGAGCCATATCTAACTGCAAGTAAGAAATTAAAAAAAACAAAACAATAGACAATCGTTCCATTATATGTCCACTGTAAAAGCCACCGGGCCAAGACCAAAATCAATTTTTAAAGGCCGTGTTCTCTTTTTTCCAACAACTTAGTATAATCTTGGCAATTCATCAAATAACGACTTAAGTCCTACATTCCTCAAAACTTATCCTTTCAAGCTTCAAGATTCTAATACAAAAAAAACAAAGGATTGACTCTAAATACTAAATCAATTAACAGTTCAGCTCATTCCCCCAAAAAGGAATTTCTACACAAATTCAGCTAAAAGCAGAAATGATCAATACTGTAAAGCAGTAAAGGGTTATATACTGAATCTGAATAACCATAAGCAAGATCCTAGTGAACCTTCTTTCATAATGCTAAAAACAAGATTGTCCAATTTCATAATGTAATCAAAAGTTCAAGATTTATAGGTATAGTTGTAAAAAATGCTGAATATTAATGAAAAGTCAGTTAAGAGAGGAAATACCGCATAGAGCGCCTCTAACTTGGAATTGTTCCGCAATATTTCAAGAACTGTTCTATAGGTCTCCCAGAGAAATTTGAACCAAGGGGTAACAAGTTCACGATCAGACCTATCCTTTCCTTTCTCCCCACTCACGTAGCTTAGCATCAAATCTTCTGGCCTTTTATCAGCTTCAAGGTCATCAACATCAAGCGCTTCTTCCAGGGCTTGTGCCTGACTACGAGCCTGCTCAGCTTTCTCAGTAGAAAGATGCATGAAGTGCTTGATCACCTCCTCCAAAGAACTAACATTCACTTGTTGACATACAATACGGTATTGAATCAGTCCATCCTTCGCAAATCGACCCTTCCGCATGTCAACACACAGCTCTACATATTTGAACATTATCCTTTCAAGTGGCTTTTGCCAAGCTCTGTATCTCTTTGAAGTTATTAGATTGTGAAGCGCCTGCAAAGCATCTTGCTTCTGCCCAACATTAATCAACTCTGCATCAAACCCATCACAAAGTCAGCCAGTTATCATAACCCAATATACACTTATAACTATTTATGGCAATGCCTCAACAACCCAGATGCATATTAACAGCAGACAACAATTTTCATACTGAGAAAGGGGTAGCATATATTTGCAAGTAGCAATTAGCAAAAACAACAAACAATTGGAGCCTAAAATAGAGGAAACGCTTAGTATCTAACCTTCTGCTCGCTTCAACGCATTCTCCGGTTTAGCAAAATTTGCCATGGTTTCTTTCAAATTCTTAACACTGCCCGCTATAGCCTGAAACAAACAACCACCAATTTTTGCATGACATTAAAGCATCAATCAAATAAGTAAAAAAAGAAAAAGAAAAACAACTTGAAAAGCTAAAAACCCTAATTATCTTCAACCTCCCAATAAAATCAAATCCAACTACAATTTCCCAAGCAAAAGAAAACCCAACCAACAAAAAAAAAAACTAAAATTACGATCTGAAAAACAGTAAAAAAAACCCTACTTATACTCACGAAAATCACCATTGACGAATTAAAACCCTAAATCTAGACAAACAGATCGAAAAAAAATTAAATTACCAAGCTCGTTTTCACCGATTTCTTTCCCTTCATTAATTTTTCATCGAGAAATTGCAATAATAATAACAAATAAAAACCCGATCGAAATACAAAAAATACCGATAAAATTAATTTCAAAAAAAATAAAAACGAGATTGATTGCTTGAGGGACTTGCCTGAAAAGAAGAGCGGCCGCGCGAGCACTAAGAAGAAGAAGAAGAAGAAGAGTGTATTTTTTTAATTTTCCTGCGAAAAGAGAGAAGATAACTATAACCAGAAAGAGCAGTGTATTTGGGCTTATTGGACCTTAAATAGGCCTTTGATCTAAAGCCTAATTGGAAACCGCTTCCAAATTTGCGAAATCCTTGTTAAATGCGGATAAAGATCTTGTCTTTTCTTGAATATTAGGTTTACATTACTCGATTTTTACCTCTATAATTGGAAAGATAAAAATAAAACACATGGTTTTGTTCCTAAAAATTAAAATTTCTGAGGTTTTTAATAAGTTTTTTATTTTTAAATAATAAAAAAAATTCCCTTTTAATAGAGATACATATAATTATTTAATACTATGTGAAAAAAATAATAATAATTTATGACTCTTGTAAACTCGATCAAGAACATTTTTGTAAGTCATTTTTTTATTATCATTTGTTTTGACATATAATATTTTGTTAAAAAATATTTTTAGAATTTATATTTGTTTGGAATATAAAAAATTTATGATAGATATAAAATATTTTACGAGTTATCAGGAAAAACACCTATTGATTACATGAGCATAAGATATTTTACAAAAAATAAAAAAAATTCCCATACTAAGCTTAGGAGTATAGATTTGATAAATATTAATATTTAACTTAAAATATTATTAGTTAAATTATTTAATATTATAAAAATTAAAAAAAGTTTAATGAAATCATTTAATGTAATTAAAATTTTTACTTATAAATTGAATAAATATTATTAATAATTATAATAAAAAATATTTTGATGATTGCCATTTGATAAATATACATTTATAAATACATATTTTGTACATCTTACCCAATTGATAAATATTGATATTTTTATAATGTTATGGTAAAGAAGTAATGAGATGAATTTTTTTTTTGAAAATTATAGTTTATTTAGGTATGTAGTTAAATACTTTAAAAAATATCATTATTACTTTTACCCATTTTTATTTCCATTCATAATTTTGATCTTAAATTAGTAAAAACTGCCCCAGTAATAGTGAAAAATATTTTTGACAGAATGATACAAACATTTTTGCAACAGTTTATTCAAACAATATAAAATATTAAATTTTTTAAAATAATTTAAGAATTCTTTTAGATATTATGTCAAAATAAAATTTAAGAGGTTTTAATAAGTTTTTAAATTTTAAATAAAAAAAGAAGTCCTCTTTTTATAGGGATAAAAGATGAATTCTTAATATTATATGAAAAAATTAATAATAGTATGATTGGCTAAAACTTGAGCAAGTACATTTTTAAAAATTATTTTTTTATTATAGGTCACATCTATATATTCAAAATTTTAATAGCTTTTTAACGAGTTGAGATTTAGTATATATATTTTTATCCAAAACGTGAAGTTTAAAGTTTTTATCACGATCTTTCATCAGTAAGAGATGAAATGAGTTTCAAGTATATAAACATGGACATTTCACTATTTATCAAGCGTATTTTTTAAATTAGAAACGTGAATTTATGACAAGTGATATTATAATAGATTTAAATTTTAACTGATGTGTATTTTTATAAAAGATATAAAAGTTGAAATAGACCTATTTTAACTAAGAGTCTCTTATTTTTTTATAAGTAAAGAGTTAGTATAACGGGATATTATATAATTGGATGAATCTTAGGTAAGATATGTCTTTTGAATTAAAAACATGAATTCGTGACATTTTTCGTCCTCCTTCAATGGTAACAAAAAATAAAAAAAATGAAGTACTATGATAAAAGAATGAACTAGAGGGTGAAAAAAAAGCAAAAATTAGAGGATAATCCCATTTGGAAAGAAAATACTACTATTTGAATAAGAGAGTCACTTTTCATAAAAAATATAAAAAAAAAAAAAGAAAAGAAAAAGAATTAGATAGGTGTGAATTTTAGAGACATGCAGTAATTAACTTTACAATCTTTATCATCTCAAGATGAACTTTGTGGAGGGTGCCAGAGAAAACTGATGTACCGTTATCTCATGGTGTGGGAAAACTCCATAAGAGTCACGTTTCCCTTTCACTTCTCATGCAACCCAAATTCCTTTCGATTTACTGCTTAAAATCAAAACCTTCTTAAAAAGAATTATGGTTCTCTTCACCCTGATAGGAGCGGATGACAGGAACAAACCATGAAAACACCAGGCCTTTCGTTCCACCAAACTCACAGTCGTTTTATCATATCAGCATCAAATTCAACTTCTGGATTCCCAAGATCAAGAGGAGAAATAACGTCCGGGGTGAGGATGATGAGAATGGCAGCAAGAGCAAGAAGAAACAAGGGGCGAAATCTAGGAAGAGTTTCAGGAAGAGGGTTGGTGTAATGTTTTCCAACGTCTTTGGTAACAAAAAGTTGTCCCCTGAGACACGCTCGGGGTCCTCTATTGGAAATAGTGAGGTTCATTGGGATGGAGATTGGGACCAGATGGAGAACTGGAAGAAATTTGTTGAAGGATCAGTTGGCATGGAATCGGCGAAAACAACAAGAAAAAAAAGCAGTGAAAACGATTTGTATGGTGAAGTGCGACCAACGGTTGTGGCGACAGGACTCGGAATATCCAACTCACGCATGTTCAATGAACCGCTGGAGGATGAAGACAAAGCAGAGGGGAGAGGGAAACAACAGGACAGGGTCTCGAAATTCTTTAGCAAATTGATTAACGACCTGGAAATGAAGAAAGGAGAAACCACCAAAGCAGACGATGGTGTTGGGGACAGAGGTGCAAAAACTGTTGGAAGCAGGAGGAAGGTGATGGGGAAACAGGAGAAGAAATCCCACCGGAAGCTGAAGATTGCTTGGTCGATGAAGAAGATGATGGGAGGAAAATCAGAGAAACAAGAACTTGCAAAGAAGAGGATCCTGATGGGAGGAAGATGCAGGCCTCTTGGCACAATTCAGTATGATGAGAATGGGTTTTTGTTGCTAGAGAATATCCCTTGATTTTTTTATAAAGTGCAAAATTTCTACCTCATTTTTATATTTTTTAAAATATTTCCAATATTTTTTGACATAATAGATTTTTTTAAAATTATTATTATTATTAGGGAATTAGGGAAGGCAATCAGAGCTCCTAAGAACCAAGCTTGCATGCATGATAAACATGGTCATTAGAGTTACTTATCGACACTTTTAGCACAGCTTGACAAGCGGGAATACAGCTTGGTCTCTGTAAACACAGTATGCTCATTATATGAAAGCCACACCAGAAAAATTTGAATGTTTGCTGCAGTCCATGCAATGCACCAAAAACTACCAGTTTCGATAATAACAACATGGTACAAGAAAAGGAAATCGAGACAGATTAATGGTCTGATCATAGACCCCTTTTAAGGTTGCCTGGGACAAGTACACTGATGAACAAATACGACATCTAAGTCTCAGGCTAGCAGCATCAAACACCATAACACTACCATCACAAAAGGTAGCATAAACAGATTAGTTGTTACAGAAGTATGCTGCAAACGATACGGGCGCAGGCAGAACATCTTGAGGAACCCACTGCAAGGGAATTATGTAGAAAAAATAATTATGTGCAAAATCATACGAAGAACATAAATCAGTAACAGCATATTTTCAGACACTGGAATTGGAGGAAATAGTCAACGTCAAACGACTTAATTAGGATACCTATAGAAACTACGGATTCATTCATACTTCTGTTTTTATGCCATTGTCATTTGGCAACAAATAAATCATGCTTTTTAACTGTCTGATGGATCCTTTTTTGCCCACAATATAAGCCATAACTTTTTAGCTACCATTGGTCTTAATTTGAGACACAGTTGAAGCATCGTATCAGATATATAATTTATAAAACAATCCAAGTCAATGATTTGCAGCGGTTCAGGTTCACCTGCTGCACCACTTTATACTCGTACCTTCAATTGCCATGTTTATGATTTTCTAAATAGTGTCATGAGAACCTGTATGAATCTCAATAAATATAATTCAGGACTGCAGTTTTGCTGCTGTAGTTACCTCTGCACAAGCCTGAGAAACCTCTGTAGTTATCTTACGATGTCTGGGGTCCGAGCTGAACTCAAAAGACTTAATGCTTTGATTAGCGTACGGCACTGCATCAGTGTGGTACCCAATGGGATTTAATAGACACAGACTAGATGGAAATACACGAACTGTGTTACTGCCAATAGCAGTAAATATATTGAAAAGCTTTAGAATTGGATTTAATAATAAAGAGATTTTAACAAAAAGCTATCCACTCTAGTGGCAGTCTGAACAACAAAAGCAGGATTTGAAACTCCCTGCCATGACATGTTCCATAAATATACAAGGAAAGCACCTAACCTGGCTGCTATTAGTATCACCCTACAAACTAAAAGGAAAAAACAAGAACGAGAAGACATCAACAGACAAGGTCATCCGAATGCGAGCAAACCTATCAAAAACAGCATAGTTGCAATTCAGCTCTGACTTTGAGGGACCCAAGAGGCAGCAATTTATCACCTTAGCCCCTCGAAGACCATTGAACATCAGTTTCATTTTCACTTCAATTCCTGGTAAACAAGCAGATCCTCCTGACAAACGGAGTCTGAAAACAAAAGCATCATCACCTGTCGAAATCCACTTTCAAACTTGTACAGCCAGCGTGAAGAAACAGTCCCTAAGCAACGCCCTCTTTGCAGATCCGGGGCTACACTGAGGTCTAACCAAGCAGATTCCAAAACAACAAAGAGATCATGATATCACTTTTATGGCAGATCAAAACAAAGTGCATGACAATGAGTAGTAACTCTGCTTACGTAAACGAGCAAAAAACATCAAGAACAGCATAAACAAAACAAAAGCAGAGGGGGGTATGTAGACAAGCACACTTTCGGCCATCAGCAAGACCACCATGGATCATTGTTACTCACACCCATCTGCTGCACAACGAAAAACGAACCATACATACATCCATGACAGAGTCAAGGCGGCCACAAATCACCAATCAGAAAACAAAGACAAAACCCGAACAAAACAAGCAACATGTTGAGTAGAGTATTAAATATACCCCTGTTCCTCCCCACTTAAATTGTGCTTAAAGTTTTCTTTAAAATAAACATTTTTTTTCTTTTATTCTATATGTATGTATAAAAACAATGACTGATTTCTAATCTTTAGGCGATTGTCTTTACCTATAGCTTGTTTGAATGGTTGGTAATGAGCTGTTCCTATCATAATCGGGTAATGAAATAGAAAAAGACTGAAATAATTTTTGTAAAATAAAATATAAAAGAATAACTATTTTATAATTTGATTCATGAAATGAAACGGAGAAGAATAAAATAAAAAACGTAAATATAAAAGGTACAAAAAAAATTAATTCAATGCTTTTCATTTCGTATAGGGTGAATGTGAGATCAATAAGTTCATTATTAGCCAATAAAAATGACAGCAATTGGAGGATAAATCAAATTTTTGTTCTTTATGGGGTGAATAAGAGATTGAATTTCCATATGAAACAAAAAGAAAAGAAAAAAGAATTGAGATAGGTGTGAATTTTAGAGATATGCATTAACTAATTAATCTCTATCCTGTTTTATCTCAATATGAACTTTGTGGAGGGAAAATAGAAAACTGATGTACAGTTATTTTATAGTGGAAGAACCCACGTTTCCCTTTCACTTGTCAATTCTCATCAACTCAAATTCCTTTTGATTTAATGCTTAAAACCAAAATCTCAAAAGCAAAATTATCAAAATCTCAAAAACAAAACTATAGTTCTCCCTTCACCCGAAGATGACAGGAACAAACCATGAAAACACCAAGCTTTTGGTTCCACCAAAACATTTGTCGTCTTACAATCTCCGCATCACCATCAATATTCCCATGGGCTTGTTTGTTAAACCCAGGGTTCCGTTTCTCAAGGGGTTGTTTAAGTTCGTGCTGAGAACAAATCATGTCCGCGGTGGGGATGCTGAGAATAGCAGCACGAGCAAGAAGAAACATGGGGCGAAATCTAGGAAGAGTTTCAAGAAGAGGGTTGGTGCTATGTTTTCCAACGTCGTTGGTAACAAGAAGTCATCGCCCGAGACAGACTCAGGGTCCTCCAGTGATGAAAATGGTGAGGCTTATTGGAATGGAGATTGGGATCAGATGGAGAACTCGAAGAAAATTGTTGAAAGATCAGTTGGCATGGAATCGGCGAAAATAACAAGAAAAAAAAGCAGTGCAAACGATTTGAATGGAGGAGTGCAACAGATGGTTGTGGCAACGGGACTTGGAATATCCAAGTCACGCATGTTCAAGGAAATGCTGGAGGATGAAGACAAAGAAGAGAAGAAATTGAAGCAGGAAAAGCTGGAAGATGAAGACAAAGAAGAAGAGAGAGTGGAGCAGCAGGACAAAGAAGAAGAAAGAGTGGAGCAGCAGGTTACAGTCAAGAAATTCTTAAGCAAAAGGACTAATTACGGCCTACAACTGAACAAAGCAGAAATCAACAAGGCTGGTGTTGGTGACAATGCTTTGAGCATCATTGTAGTAGGTGATAGAGACGCAAACACTGTTGACACAAGGAAGACGGTGATGGGGAAACAGGAGAAGAAATCCAGTACATCGAGAACAACACCGACCACCCGTCGGAAGCTAAAGATTGCTTGGTCTATGAAGAAGATGATGGGAGGAGCAACAGAGAAACAAGAACTTTGCAAGAAGAGGATTCTGATGGGAGTGAGGTGTAGGCCTATTGCCACAATTCAGTATGATGAGAATGGCGTTTTGTTGCCTGATATTAACCCTTGAGTAAAATTTCTGCACTCGTTTTGGATTTTATTGGGTTTACAATATTTTGATTTATTTAGGTTGAATTTATTGTGTTTCTAATATTTTGATTTACATTTAGATTTCTTAAAATTATTATTATCAATTAGGGTTGTTAGGAGCTTTAAATTTTTTTAGATGTAATAATATTTTCTGTAGTAATTTTATTTTTTAATATTTTTAAAATTAATTTTAAATAATATTTATATAAGTAAAATAACGAAATTTTTTAGCTGATTATTTTTGAATAATTGAAAAAAAGTCTTATAGTTGTAATTGTTGTGTCCATCTAGAAGAAAGTTGAAGAATATTTGGAAAAATTTGCTGTAAATGATTCTCTGTCAATCGACAATTACAAACTTTAACAGCTAATTATAGCTTAATCAGAGAAAGTCAACATTTAGTCAGCAGAGCTCATTAACTAAATTTGTTAATTGCACATGCTGGTCACATTGTTGAAGACTAATGATCCCCACTATAACATTCTCTCGTGAAAAGTCGAATATATATATATATATATAT